AGATTGCCATCCTCTCTCACTAAACCTTCTATCCTTTTAAAGTATATCTTATTTGCATTTTTGCTTTGTTTTTCTTCTTGGTATTGGGTTGGAAAAGTTTTGCCATTAATCGTGGCCGTCAAAGAACGTAGGAGTTATGTTAGAAGAAGAACGTGAGAGATGTCACAAACTTCAATGTATAATCTGTAAATAATAGCTGTGACGTTAATAAACTAAATATTTAAATTAATCAATATCACGCTACCTCAATGCTTCTCAAACTTTCAATATTTGTGACCCAATATTCAATCATAATTTTCATCGCACCCCCCTTCCATACAATAGCAATATATTGAATTCAATAAAACTATACTTTACTATATTTTAACGCTAAAGCTACAATACTACTTTCCCCTCTTAAGTTGCACTGGCAAAATTAAAGATCTCACTCAGCCAAAGCGTTAATTGCCCCAGACGTATATATACGTTTTTCCGAAGTACGATCTCTTCTCTGCACTGCTATCCGTAAAATTATTCCGAAGACTTTGGAATGCAATAAAAGGACCTTGGCAGTGATTACGGAGAATTTACTTATTTCAGAGGATCTACTTATTTTTATTCCTTTTCTCCCCCCTCCCCCAATACATCACATTCGTGTGCCTACGTAAATGGTAGCACTGGGGAGCGAATCGCGTAACTTTTAACAGGCAATTATGAGATTAATTATAAACTGTACAGATTATCAAGATAAGTGTTGATTTTTTTTTTTTTATATACTTTCATGTATGACAAGCCCATGGGGTCATTGGTAATTATTAAACGTGTTCTTAACTTAGTATTGTTAGATTAATTATAAAATACATCGTGCAGTACTGATACATTTAAAAGTGTATTATATCAGTGTAATTGCGTATTTGATATTTTATTGTATCAGAATGTTTTTGTTTGCTTACTTTCAGTAAAGTTCAGTTAGGTCCTGTGGCCGAATGGTAGCGTTTTGCGCTTCCCCACCACAGATTCGAGGTTTTATCCTCGGACTGGGTAAGGTCCACTCAGCCTTTCATCCCTCCTGCAGTGGGTCGATAGAGCTTGCTTGGGGACTTAAGCACTGGGATTATCGCTTCAGACTGATCACCTGATCGGGATATCTGCTCATGCACCTCAGCTCCCAATGGTCATATATACTGGGATGTGCACAGTAGGCTCTGGCCCTCATGGGCTGTTGCGCCACTGGGTTTGAGTATTTACTTTCAGTAAATTAATAAATTTTTTTTAATAATCTTTTGTTTTCGACTTTTTAGCATGCTTGCGCCACTTTCGTAGAGTTATCAAGCCCCCCTAGGAGTGCGCGCCCCACAGTTCGAGAAGCGCTGCGCTGCCTTTATTTACCTCAAACGTCACAATATGTAGCTACTGAGAGATAAAAGAAAATTATTTAAAAAAACCAAATAGTTATTTAAGGTGACGACTGACTACGTTCGGAACCGGGATTTTGAAAAAGAGTGGAAATGGATGAATTTTTGATATTTAGTGTCAGTTGAATTACAATCAGTGACGAACACAAGAATTTTTCAAGGGGTGGGGGTCCAGGGTCGAATTCTTATATTATACCCCAATACGCCGCCAAACATATACTCTTGATTTTGTCGATTGTCGGGAGCAAAAACAGTGAGGAATAAATTAATGAATACGTAATTAGCATTAATTAATAAAATTAATTATTAATAACAAATATTTAATTAAATTTTACGTACTGTATACATTGGATTATAATTAATAGAAAAGAAAAATCAAGGGGCATGGTGCCACCCTTTGGGCGCCACTGATTAGAATATATGTATAAAATTGTTTTTAAGAATATTATTACAAGAAAAAAAAAATATTTAAATCCTGTTATTTTGGAAAAAATAAAGAAAGAAGGACATATTTTCAAAACATTCTTCTAATGAAAAATGCTTCTATAATAATAATATACTTTGCCTACATATGGCTAGCACTTCTGTGCCAGGCTTGAACTAAACTTTTTTAGACATGTAATTTATAGAAGTGTATTTATTTATATTTCGTTCTATCCGAGTTACGAAATTTTAACAAAAAAAAAAAAAAAAAACCCGTTATTATTTCAATTGATCGTAACTCTGAAAATAATGTTAATTTTTTCAAAAATTGTAGTTCAACCCCAGTATAGAAGTCCTATATATATATATATACGTATAGTATTATTAATATAGAAGCATTTTTCATAAAAGGATGTTTTGAAAATATATCATTCTTTCTTCATTTTTTGCCAAATAACTGCGCTTAAATCAGTGTTTCTCAAACTGTGGGGCGCGCCCTCCTTGGGGGAATGATAACTCTATGAGGGGGGCGCGAGCATATTAAAAAGTCAAAAACAAAAGATTTTTTTCAAAAAATTACTAATTTACTGAAAGTAAACAAACAAAAAATACATTCTGTCAAAATAAAAAATACAATACACATTTACACTGATATAATACACTTATAAAAGCATCAGTACTGTACAATATATTTCATAATTAATTTAACAATACTAAGTTAAGAACAAGTATAATAATTACCAGTCATTCCATGGTTGTGTCATATATAAAATTATATACAAAAATTAAGTATTAATTAATAATTATCAAGATTATTGATAATTTGTGTGGTTTATAATTAACTGCCGATTAAATGTCATGCGATTCGCTCTTCAATGCCACCGTTTTCCACATAGACATGTTTATGTGATGTATTGGGGGGAAGAAATAAATAAGCAAATCATCTGTAATCTAAGTACATCCTACGAAAACACTGTCCTTTTATTGCATTCCGAGGCCTTTGGAATAATTTTATGGATAGCAGTGCACAAAAAAGGTCGTACTTTTGACAGACGTATATATACGTCCAGGGAAAATAACGTGTTAGCTGAGCGAGACGTTTATATGCTAGAGGTTTAAATCCTATTGTAGCTTTAGCATCAAAGTATCGCATTATTGAATTCAATCCATTGTTATTGCATGGAGGGGGACGCGATGAAAATTAGAATTGAATATTGGGCCGCAAGTATTGAAAGTTTGAGAACCACTAACTACGGTTAAGAGACAAAAATTGAGCATTCGGAAAAACAGTTTTCTTCAGTCAGCGATCGTCACATTTTAGCATTGACACAAATCATTGCCAATTGCTCCGATTTTAAATTGGAATTTATATCTTTTCCCCAGAACTGCTGAATAATCATTTTTAGTTTAGGTTTCGATTGGAAAGTAAAGCATGGCAGCGTAGATGCGAAGACTAGAAAAATTAATAAACTGGGATTGGAATCTTATGTTTGAAGTATCTTTTCTGAGAAATGATTAGAGCTGTTTAATAAAAGACTGAAATATATTATGAAAAATAAATGTTATAGAAGGTAAATATAAATTCTTTTATATATATATATATATATTATTATTATTATTATTATTATACTATATATATATAAACTGTGTATCTCAATTTTGAGAAAGAGATCAAAAAATGTTATGTTTAACATGATAAACAAAATATACCCAATAATTGTATGCTTTTTAACTTTTTTATTTAAAAAGATCTGATGAACACCAAATAAATACATTGTTTAGCTTTAGTTTGATATAAGAATGTGTCAAATTTTACTGTACTTATATATCTCTCAAGTGTTACTTTGTGGGAAGCAAGTAATTTATTAAAGATCATTTGTGTTTCATCACTTTTGTCGTTATATTTCATGCTATTAAAATGCATTAACTCCATGCGATAAATGTATTAATCAGTTTAAGCTTTCACTTTACTGCTGAAATTGAGAATTCACAATACAAAGTGTAAAATTCACTGGAATATGAAGACCTGTAAAAAGAAAACTAAAATGTTAGCTATTCTTAGGACTCGAAGATACTATCTTCCCTAAAAAAGAAGGAATTGTCAGGAAAACAAATGGTACATATATATACCTAAATGTGTATATAATGATCATAAAGCAAAAGAATGATTATATTCATCATAAAACAAAAGAAAAAGGGGTTTAATAGTGAGTATATTGAACAAATCAGAAGGAAAAAAAAGCTGAATATTAGAACTCGAAAGTATGAGGCCTTTAAAAATGAATAAGAATCATCAATACACAAATGTGAAAATTATTATATTTTCTAAGGTTGTCACTGACTAAGGGCAATGAGGTAGAATAACACGTGCTCTATAACAGAGTTCGCCTAAGTGGTGGTTCGCGAGAAAATTTCTCTGGTTCTCAGAAACATGTGGAAAATATACATACTCATCACGTTAAGTTATGTCTTAAGATACATTGAAACAAAATTCAATGCATAACAATGCGTGAAAAGTTACAAAAACCGCTGCTTCACAGAATTACGTCAGGGTA